TGTGTGTCTGTGTGTCTGTGTGTCTGTGTGTCTGTGTGTCTCTGTGTCTCTGTGTCTCTGTGTCTGTGTGTCTGTCTGTGTCTGTCTGTCTCTGTGTCTCTGTGTGTGTGTGTGTCTGTCTGTGTCTGTCTGTGTCTGTGTGTGTGTCTGTGTGCGTCTGTGTGCGTCTGTGTGTGTGTGTGTGTGTCTGGGTGTGTGTGTGTGTGTGCCTGTGCCTGTGCCTGTGCCTGTGCCTGTGCCTGTGCCTGTGCCTGTGCCTGCGCCTGCGCCTGCGCCTGTGCCTGTGACGGTGCCTGTGACGGTGCCTGTGCCTGTGCCTGTGCCTGTGCGTGTGCGTGTGCGTGCGCGTGCGCGTGCGCGTGCGCGTGCGCGTGTGCGTGTGCGTGTGCGTGTGCGTGTGCGCCTCTGTGTGTGTGTGTGTGTGTGTGTGTGTGTGTGTGTGTGTGTGTGTGTGTGTGTGGCACACCGCTGTACATGCGGGAACGTCAACAAGCACTGCATACGAGAGCGAAAAGAAGCACGAATTTGCGATCTAACAAGTTTTTGCACATGATATTCAGCAGGGGGCAGGAGCACCTTGGTCAGTCTCCTGCCAACGAAGACACTGACCAATGGTGGTGAAATCAACTCCGGACGCGGAGTTGACGTACCTGCAGTGATGGTTATAGACGTCCTGTAACGCAAGCTGTGTATGGTGCATCATTGCTGTTGCTTCAACCAGTCCTTCAAGAACGAGATTTTCATTTTGGGCATTTGGTATTTGAGCATGGGTGAATTCTCGATGCCGTGAGCATGACATACCCCAAACCCCAGAAGACCTCGAGCCCATCAAGCTTGAGTGGATCGTGATGCTTTCAGCTTGTGTGTTGTGAATAGCAGCTGAGCAGAATTGCGTGAGCATGTCATTTTAGCATGGTGATGGAACATGTCGAGCATGATGATGGACGAAAGCATGGAGAAGGTTCGGAACATGAGTGTTAGAGCATATGAGCATGCACTGTGCAGCATCGGAGCGCGATGAGCAGAGTTGCGGGAGCATGAAGTGTGTAGCATCAGACCATGAATCGTGGAGCATCTGAACGTGCTGAGCAGAGTTGTGCGAGCATGACTTGTGGAGCATCAGAGCATGAATTGTAGAGCTTCTGAGCGTGGTGAGCAAGCTTGTTTGAGCATGAGTGGTGGAGCATCAGAGCATGACTTGCAGAGCATCTGAGCGTGATGAGCACAGTTGCAGGAGCATTTCAAGTACCTTATAGCATATTTCATATAAACCTTCATTCGCGACCCTTCTACCTCATCACTTTCGGGCTCCTCTACTACCTCTTGCTTGAGCATCTCTACCTTCGGAGCATCTCCATCTACCAGTTTATGTGGAAGCACTAAAACAAAAAGTGTGTTATACAGCCAGCCCGCCCTCGCCTTGGGCCGCGGGTGTAGGTGGAGCCTCGCTCCTACGCGTTCATGCTGCCTATGTTAGTCTTCACTTCGGTGCGGACGCATAGGATAATCCAAAAATGTGAGCTCACCTGGCGAGTGAGAATGCAAAGTACTATTGTTTTCGTGCACTAGTAACATGCCGGGCCCACTAATGTGGGTGCCACCGATGCCCAGCAAGACGGCCGGCGTGCCGTATGTTCCTCGATTGTTAATCCTGACCCAGCATCCGGAGAGGTTAGCAACATTCTTTTTGCTATATCTTTGCCGTAATGGTTTCATAGGTCAGAGTAGTGAGTAGCTCGTACCCCAGCTACATCGGACTCGCACCATGGACGGCTACCAGTGGTCCCAACAAAGTTGGCAGCGGCAGCCGCCTCCTCCTCCTCCTCCACCAGACTATCAAGCACATCCTCCTCCTCCTCCTCCTGAGACGCCACACCCAACGGCACATTACCCAGGAGACGATCAAGGATGGCAAAGTCGATGGAATCAACACCCACCAGCCGGAGGAGTACACGCTCAATACCAGTGGCCACCCTACCAGGATGCAGCATCCCTACGGCCACAATGGATAGCACCAGCCGCGCTTTTGGATCAAATGCAGTTCGGTCCCCCGACGCATCGTCGTGATGATGCAGCAGGATACGCACCTTCGAGTCAAACGACGGGCCCACATTCACCGATGACCAACCAGAACATCCATCTTCACCACCAACATGCCAGTCCTCAACAACATGGTCGCAGCGATCACCCGGAAGTACGCCCAGCACCTCTACATCCACAACCTCACTCCTACCCCCAGGCCACAAGTCATTGGCAGAATCCGGACCCACCTCCGTATCTTCAGCATGGTCCGCAATATCATCAAGGCCAAGATCTACGACCAGACCACCATCCTCGAGACCTTGCGCATCATCATCAACAACAAAGCCCTCCTCAGGGTCGACCAGAATGGAATCAAGCCACACCTCGGCCAGCACACCATCTTCAGCAACAAATGAATGTTCCACAACGAGCAGATCATCCCGTGTTCGCGCAAGCAGAGCCCCATCCTCCAGTTCGAGAGGGACCTTACCCCATCTCCCTACTAAATACCCCTGGCGCCTGTGCACATCGAGATCCAGCAGAACACGGCCAGCCACGTCAACAAGATGCTCCAGTTGACACACAACACCTAGACCAAGGACGCAGATCTCAGCAAGACCCCACTCAAACGCTCACCGAGATCCGCAGCGAGACGCAGCACGGCAGGAGCCTTTGTCGCAGTCCAGACCGTTTCCAGCACTTCCGCGATCTATGCCCGCCCAGATTTCGGACACACAACAAGATGACCATCAAAGAGGCCAACCTGTTCATCACGGAGAACATCAACAACCTCGTCAAGCCCCAGAACCACCCTCTCAAACCACGTCGATGACGACACCATCCCAGATGACGGAGATGTTCACGTGCATCACAGGCATGATTGAGAAAGTCGTGGCACCGCTACTCCAGTCCCATACCAGAGTCGCCCCAACGCAACTACAACATCCTGGCGACCAACACAGAGCAGAGTCCTTTACCACACACCACACCCGAAGTCGCAGCCGTACCACCTATGAGCCCAGCCCAGCCCACCCCAGGAGCACCAGATCTACGCGACACACGCACATCTCCCATTCACCCCACAGCCCCGCACCCAACGACCCCCACCAGACAGGCAAAACCAGACGGCCACGCAGTCCAAGAAGATCCAGATCCACACGTCGACACTCGGAAGAAGCCGAATCGCGAACATCGAGAAGGCGCTCTTCTCCAGTTCATCATCACCGGACATCCCAACCAACACCATCCCAACGCAGCCCCTCCCCAAGCAGCACCAGGCGCAGAGGCACGACCGTCGTTCTCACTCCCGCGCTCCATCGATCTGCTTCACACACGGCGACCCACAGAGACACACCTGCTTCCTCATCCCGACCACCCCAAGCACCCTCAGAAGCCACTTCACACAATGCAGGACCAGAAACCGAATCAGGCTTCAAACCTGAAGAACGTCGACGCATGAAGATGCTCTACCAAGACGCCTTGGCGGACCCCTACAGGCTCGCGTGTGTGTCCGAGATGTACCACCAACAAGACCCACCGCCGCCCATGGACCCTTCCAGCACAGGCGTCCGGTACATGAACGACATCATGCACGACATCGCCAACCTCACCCAAGGACAGCCCCTTTGGCTCTCTAACCCAGCACAGATGGCCATCCGCCAAGTGGCAAGATCCTTCGCTTGCTCTCACTACAAGATCACGCCCTTCCTCGGCCAGTTCAGAACTCACCCCAGCACGGACACGGTGATCCACCCGGAGCTCATCCACGTAGACCCCTACAGCAACAAACAGGACACCACCGACTACCCACTGGTACAGGTCCTCGTCATACCACTACGCACCACCAAGCCTCCACCTCACGCACACGATGCCAACAGTCCATCACCTCCCACGCACAAGGGCGCCTACAAGGCATATTGGTCACACGCTACCGATGAAGCAGGCCTATGGCACATCCTGCGCGAGGGCTTCGTCAGACCCACGAATTGGGAGCCCACCAATTGGGATGACGACAACCTCCCCTACAACAAAGCATACCTACCCCACCGTGGGTTCAACGGATTCCACCAAGACAACGCACCCGACAACCTCCAACTCGGATTTTGCCACACCAACCTCCGCAAAGCCCTCCGCCTTCCAAAAGCCAGAGCAGGCCCTGCCGAACGAGAAATAGCCACAGGTTTCACCATATTTGGACGCGTCACATCGTCCACCTCCCAGCATAGCCACATGCGGCAGAAGGGAGGAGGATGGACGACTCAGAAGGCGCTCATCGAGGCACACTTCAACGACACCAGCCGGGCCAGTCGCAACTTCACCACCGTCTTCTCCCACACCGAGAAGAGCGTCATTGATGCACAGTACGCTGAGATCACCGGGATCACCATCAACGTCTTTCACCCTAGACCCTCACCCACCACACCACCTCCAGTTCCCAACAGATCCCGAGACAATGACCGCGGACAACGACGTTGACAACTACCTGAGCTGGCGAATCCTTCTTCCTCATCGTGAAGAGCAAAGTGACGATTTCTTTTTCACCTTCACGAACCCTCACTCGTACGGCACCAGCGCGTTAATCACAGCATGTCAAAATGGAAGGCATCAAGCGGAGCAGGTCGTAGATTGGAGGGAGTGCACCCCCACCCCACCACACATCACTCTGCAGTTCCGAACTGTTTGAAATATCCACACCGAGCTCTATGCATTCAGCCCAGTGTGTGCGCCAGTCACGGATTGCAATCGGATGCATGTAGTACTGCGTTACGGATGAATCAGCCTGTCTTTTCTCTTCGGCACATGAAATCACGCGTCAAGTGAATTCGTGCACTGCTGTGATGCGTTAGACCTTGACCTTGAGAGACATGCTCTGGCCGCCTTTAGGTGTCGTTAGTGCGGATTGCATTTCGCATGCAGTTTTGCTCTTGACCATAACGGATCATTAGACGCTCACTTTCATCATGGATCCGGCAGAAGACATGGAGCACGCCCTTCACCGCTGGCTAAGCGGACAAGTCGCCGATCATCAGGTTGTGCAAGTACTAGGACCCCAAATACTACAAAGATGGCAAGCCTTGCCTTGTGAGCATCGTGGAGGAGGATGACACCCCCATTACCACGGACACGTCGTCGATGCCAGCCAGACCATGGACGACCAACTTGCACCCATCCAAGTACATGGAGATGCTCAGCACCACTGACGAGGGCATCAGCAACACCGTCAACAGATTTCGACAGCAAACCATGAAGGCCAAGATACTGCACCAATCCAGATTGCGAGCGGTGCAGACCGACTACCCCGAGATAATCGGCCAAGGACGACTACAAGACATGGAAATCAAACCCGGTCGAGTTCTTGCTTCCGCGGAAAACCACGGTACCATGCCCCATACCCTTCCCCCTCCAACCTCCTCACAAGACCATGCGAACCAATTCCAGAGATGGTATCCGAATCGACAAACACCACCCCAAGACCACGCCACCGGCATGTCCATGGATTATGCGGGCACGGACCAACCTGTCAGAGACCTACAAACCTGGCACACTGGAGCCTTCCCACACATTCCCGTACCTCCCGACCGCACAGTACCTCCTCCCGAAGAACGGCATCACAGAGAAGACAGATCCAGGTCGCCACTTCGAAACCCTGGTGTCCACACGATGGGCATGCACGTCAGCAGCTTGCAACAACTGCTCGACAGCCTTGAACCAGCTGTGGACGCGCAATCCGTCACACAACATCACGACCAAGGCCGGCTACGCCCAGTTCTACCAGTTGATCAGATAGAGAAAGTGCAGCCGCAGTGGTGGAGACGACCGATTCGACCGGAACTTGTTCACATGCTGCCTCCGGTTGAACCACACCATTGGGAACTCCAAGAGGACGGCACACCCGTCATTCGATTCTTCCCCAACCGCATGACCTTCCTCCCGAAGCAGCTGGTGCACAAGTTCCCCTCACTCCAACAAGAACTTCAAAACAGCATCCTCATGACCTGGGACCAGTACAAGGACGACGCATCCACCCACGTCCAGATGGCACGCTACGCCGACTCCGTCGACATTCCCCAACCCAAGCCCCTACACCTACGACTACGTGCCCTCCTACACGAAATTCTATCAGGAACCGCTGCAGTTCACATCCTACAGTTCACAGCCATACAATTTAGGATGCTCGTACGCAAAGGCACTTGCCCAGATTTGGCCACAATGCCCAACATCTATCAGCTCTGGCACTGGGGCTACATCAAATTCCGAAGTGTGAACCCGGAACTCTGGATGTTCACACACAACTTCGCAGATCCCAGAACTATGGGCAGGCTGGAGCAGACCTGCACTCATTTCCACAGAGTCTGGTCAGCACACGTCCTACCCAGCACGGCAGGATTGGTACCCCTGCTTCCGCCCATACAAGACCTCTGCGTGGTGCTCCATAGTACTACGCCACCCTTCCACCAGCCGATGCTTGCGAAGTACAACACCATCTCGGGCATCATGACCATGCAGGCGGTCAGCAACATAGTCTTCCGCAAGGCTCACCATGACCTACAGCTCCACAGAACATGGCCCAGCATCGATTCCCACACAGAATGCCTTCAGGGAATCAACACGTTCCAGATTCCGGACCACTGGTCAACCAACATATGGACCGATACGCTTCAGAAGCTCACCCACACGACCAGATGGACGCCACCCTCCACTCCCGACATCCGCACCAAACTCACCATCGACCACCTCCACAGCGACACACTGCCCACCATGGTATGGACACCGAGATTCGCCTTACCCCTCACTTCACAACAGATCCACGCAGTTCAAGTCTCCACCCAAGCAGCACATGTACTACATCGACTTTGGGACCCACTCATCTTCACCTTTGCGGACCCTTGCCACACCATCGACGGTTTCGACGCCAAGCGGACAAGCCGTCCTGATTTGATTGGCAAACTTCACCGACTGAGTCCAGGAGGACAAACGCCAATGTTAGCAATCCCGGCCAGCAGCGTGATGGAGACACAGTTGGACTGGGCCTGGTTCCAATCCACTACGGCATCCAGTTCCCCGTTTAGATGGCTGTCCCTACCCCTTGCATCGGACACCCCAGGACGCACTCGGTCTTTTGGACCCACCCGAAGATATCAGGCCAAATCCAACGTCACCAAGCTCTACATGTACATCAAACCACGTGGTTGGCGGTATCGGGAACACCTACAGCCTTCCAGGAGGATCCAGACATCAGGCAGAATCAAGCGCAGGCCACGCCAACCCAGGAGGAATGGACGGACTTCATCAACCAACGACACGCTCTACTAGAACTTCAACGACGCACCACCGTTGACCAAGAAGCAGGCCAACATCAATGGAAGTATCTGAAATGATGAGGTCCCAGCAAACATAGTTTCACGATGGAACGAGCTCAGCCACATGCACCCGTTGAGAGAAGTTGCAGCCATATGCACCTCACATCCTGCATGCAATTTTCGGAACACGCTGCCTCTGCAAGTGTAGTGTTTCATGTGCCTGACACAGCCGTTGCGTGCCTCACGTAGGCTTCTTCACTAACAGCTGAACATATCAGCATCCCCATACCCCCACGCCATGGCAGACAGACGTGATCGCCATGATCAACGACATGCTCAATGGCATGCAGACGCACACAGGCGAGGCAACCGTTCCAGACGATCCAGATCACCCAGAAGGTTCAGCACGCCAAGACCATCTAGGAGGCATCGCACTAGGTCGGCATCACCGAGATCCACGCGCACGTTCCACTCCAACCCACGTCCCAGCTCGGGACCGACTTTGACCCCCAGATCCACATTCACAACGTCCCACACGCTTCCTCACCACGGACAAGATTCGGTGTACAACCCACGACGAGATCGCCACCGTCATGATCAGCGACTCCCGATATACGGGAACTCTCCCATCCAATCTACTCAATCTTCGGCCCCTACCCCAGCCCGCCTTAACCCCAAAGAACGCGCCAAGGAAGTGCTCCAGGACATCTTCCACCAGCCCAACAATGACCTCCCAGACCACTGGGATTCCACCGAGCTGCTCTACGACAAAAACCAGTATGGAGGAGTCCAGATGCCCAGAATCGTACCTGCCACGTCATCGGCCAAGAAAAATGGCACGGCAGGTATGGATCCGTTCGACATAAAACTCTGGCAAGTGGCCTTCGAGGGCAAGCACAATTATATGTTGCGACAGCTCGCCAACGGACGATGGACTCAGTTCCAAGGCCACAAGTCACTACCCGATGCCGTGTTTCACATGAAACTCTCCACCTTCATCCGCAACCGCAACATTCGCATCGAGACCATCGCAGTCAACTATTGGAAGTGGAAGAACGGTACTGAAATGCTGCCCTCTGAAGCCCAACGGAAGGAAGCCATGGAGATGCTCGTCGCCAACATTGGAGACCTCCTCATGCGCTACAACAATCCCCCTGCTGTACAACCCCAAGTACGTGCCCAACTCGCACAGAAAGAAGCGGAGATAGCAGGATTGCGCGCACAGCTGGCAAGTCAGAGCCGCAAGACACCCTTCCCGCAGGGCATCATCCCACCTACCCAAACCCAGATGCCCAACTTCTTCGAAACAGGCACCAGCAAGACTTCACCATCATCCGGTAAACAACCACATCCACACCGAGATCTGTGCGCTCAGGACAACACCCACGACCTTGTGCAGGTTATCGACGCCGACGACACCCAAGTATCGCAACCGATAGCATCCGAAGTGGCCGAACAAGCACCTCAACCCCCTCCCCCTCTTCACCCACACCCGCCTACCGTGGAAGACGAGCTGGACCCCAACCTCATTGGAGGCATCACCACACCCTCCTACCAGCCCAGCCCAAGATCTCCGGTTACAGGTGAACCAGCATCCAGCCGCCCGTTCGAATCACCAGGCGGCAGACAAAACAAAGTCCTCCTCGACATCGTCAATGCATTCGACGACGAAGAACTCATCCAGTATCTTAGCGGCATAGCTCCGAAGCGAGAACCAGGTGACAAGGCCAAAATGGACAAGATCCGACAAGTACATGAACTCACCAGCTCGCTATCAAGATACGCGGCCCCGTCAGCAACAACCTGGATCTCCACCCTCAAGATGTCTGGGCCTAAACTACAGGCCCAGAAAGAAATTGCCAAGAGACTCACGGTATATGCGGAGGCGCATCCAAAAGATCAGGCATACCAGGACATGGTGAAGGCCTGGTCACTTCCCAAGCTCACCAACACAGCAGGGACGGCAGCAGTCGCTATCGTGGTAGCAGGCCTTGCTTCCTACCTACATTGACTAGGTACCCTACTCACAACTCAGCAACCCTCTAGACGACTCAACCGCATACACTCCTCCATGGTGAAGTGCATGGACATCGCGAAGAGCGTGGTCCAATACACATTTCACCGCATACCTTTCTTACACAGATACTCCACTTGGCTCTACGGCAAGTTTTGGCTCACCGCTCTTTGCCATTTTCCTCGACGCCAAGTAGATCGACGCAGGCTGGTACGCCTCAAGCAGTTTCACCGTATCACCCCGGAGCTCTACACATTCGAATTTTTCAATCAGCCGAACGCAGTGTACTGGAGAGTCGACCACGGACGCATGTTTGAGCACCTCTATATTGGCAGCACCTCCACGAAAGTCACAGTCAGAGAAGACAACCGACGCAGAAAACACAACGCACTCGCCGCTCAAAAACTGGTCAACGCAGAACCAGCCATACACTATTGGCACACCACCAACACATATTGGGAGTTCGTTCCGATCAAAGTCCGCAGCGTTGACGATGTGGCAGAGTTGCACATGATTGAGCAGGCAGACATCGCGGACCTCCAACCCTCCCTCAACGCCCCCTTCATCTACAAACACTTCAAAGAAGACACAGGCCACACCTTCCAACCCAAGACCATTTGTGACGTCAACGTGCTGGCAACCAAACTACGTGCCCGACTACATCGACACCTAGGCAGGAAAACCAGACCTTGGCGAGCCGTCAAGGTACAGATAGACACCAAACCGCGCATGTGGGGCCTCCTCACCGCCCTGTGCTCCACCACGGCTCTGCGATGGAAAACCACCAGAACGTTGATGAGCAGCAACTTCCCGGCCGAGAACATATACACACTACTACGAATGACCAACATCCTTGAATCCCCATACAAGGAGTTCTGCAAAGCAGCATTGGTCAAGGCACTGGACAAGAGACATATGGAGACCCCTAACATAAGACCCCTCGTCACCAGTTTGCTGCCACCTATGGAAGAATGCCAACGCCATCTCCGAGAAGTTCTACGCGCCATCATCGCGAGCCACTACCACGAACTATGTCCACTACATGTTCCGAAGACCACGGTGGTAGCCAAACCAGGATCCAGCATCGAGGCCCAGTGCCACAACTGGCAGCGAATGTGTTTTGGACCAAAACTTACGAGAAGATGCACTTGCCCCAACCCTACACAGGAACTCAGTGAACATCAAGTCATCGACCTTCAGACCGCACACGCATCACCAGAAGACCCTCTACACCACATCGTCACTTACTCATCCAAGACGGGTACCTTCCCGGAACCAGATACTTGGATTTCGCAGACGACGGAAGATGTTCGAAAATGGTGCAGACGCAATGGACTCTCCATCCCATCCAGGGAGGCCGTGCAGCTCGCCCTTGCCC